AAATGTGCAAAATAAGGAAAGTGTTCACTTGTCAGAAGCATTTTCAAGCACTAACCAGAATGACAAGCGCGTAGTGTTTGTCAGATAAAATGTGATATTGTATCCACTGTACGTTACTGAAGTTCTGCGCGGCAAGTATTTCCTGTTCAGTGAGTTCCAGTGGTTTTTTGCTGGGTACCGTCACGAGCGATGGTGTCGCGAACTGTACAGCAGACGGCGCCGAAACACTTTCTACACCATCTCTTACGCGAACACACTGCACACGTAGCTGAACACTTTCGGAAGTCGAAAACGAATATGATGTGGAGATACCCTCATAAACCTGAAACACGAACCCATTACCGGAAAAGGTGAAAAAATGAATGAAAAAAGAAAACTAATATAAATGAAGTTGACATTTGCATGTTCTTTGGAACATAACTCAAAAATTTAGCAGCACTTCCAACATTAGGCATCGAAAAGCGGTCAGAAATAATCGTAATCCACCTGCAACAGCATTTCTATTTGAAAGAAAAAACTAAAAATCGGAAATGAATGCCAGATTCTTTCGCCGCAAAGATGATCAGAAGTTTGAATAATTTTGATCAGAGCAACTATGAAAATGTTGCCAACTACAATAATGTAATGATAGGCAGTTAAAGGTAGACCTCGCAAAAAATTTCAAGAAAAACTAACCGTCTTCCAAATGTTGTTTGAACGCTCACTGGAAGCTCGCGAAGCAAGCTGAAGGCGGTACAGCAGTGATTCTTTCCCATTTACAGATGATCCACGTACAGGTGACCATTCCACCTGAAAACGATACGCTGTCTCAGAAAAACTTATTTTCATTCTGCGCTCTCGAAATTTTATCTTTATTTCAACAGAACAGCCATGTCATATAAAACTAATTACCTGAAAAGAGCCGGAGGCAACCTCTGTAACTGTTGGCGCAGCTCGAATTGTTGGTGGCGGAAGTTGTTCGGTGGAAAATTCAAACGGCGAAGACCAGGAACCAGCACCAGAAACTCGTGACGCACAACGAATACGGAAACGATATTTTGTACTTTCGCTCAGATTACGCACTTTCGCATAACGGTTATCCCCTTCATAGATCTGCAATGCATAAATGACAGCTGCAGTGCATAAATAAATAAATAAACAAACAAATAAATAAACAAATAAATATATATATATGCAATGATTTTGCTGCGCACTTACATGTTAGCCGATCTCTTGCGTAAAGGTCCAATCGGTGTTCAATTTAGATTCATTTACGCCGAAACTTCTTTTTTTCTTTAGGTAAAATTTCGTTTTTATACACCTTTACATACAGAAATACTACCTCTTTTGTCAAAAATCAGTGACGTTGTGCATCAGGTTGCTGGCACGAGTATGCGTTTTGGTACAAACCTCTGAGTAATCAGATCGTTAACAGCGTAAATATTGGTTGCTTTGTCTTTTAAAATATGCATTCATGCCAGCAATTTTTCTGGCTATTTGCTACATGCGTGGGAGAGGAAAGCAGGTTAACGGCTAGGATGGTAGCGCCGCTGAGTGATATCTCAACTTTCCAAAGTATGCATGGTTACAATGTAGAGATGCTGCCGACGAATTTGTATACTCAAGTTTGCTGTGTACGCACAAAAGACTAGGCACCGACGAAGGATGATATTATGGTCTTGGTGATGCACAAGATATGCAAGCATTCTCGTAAAATTTGTGCTGCCTTGCTTGTTTGACTAACAGAAGAGAAGGATAACGAAAGTGTTGCAACTTGAACACTTGACGTGTTTGCGTGTAGGGCACATTAGCAAGCAAAAGCTCATTTTATAGCTACATCTCGTACGCGACAGTTAAACTCCAATAAAAATTGTGGCTTCCTACTCCATCTGGTTACAGAGTCAAATGGGAGCCAAAACTGTCCAAATTGGAAATCTGCAAGATCTAAATGTGCCGCGAAAATGAATTCGAAGACTTCAGATCATACAAGGCTAGCGAATATCCTTGCAAAACTTCAGCCTTATAACATGAATGGTAGCATTAACTGCTTCCTCACTACAAAATATTTGCCGATTCCGTACGCGTGATACAAGCGCATGAGAAATTTGATTTTAGATTTACAGCCCCGCACACAGACAATAAATATTCTCATAAAAACTGAATATCCAGCTCAAAATCAGCCCCGAGTTGGCATCTTGCCAGTAGTGTCTCAATCTCAACTTTGGCATTTCCGCATATGTGACACAA